TAACCAAGCAGCCTTCAGAGCTGTCACCCACAGACATTCAGCAGACTCTGCACCTTATTCAACCGGGAATAGTATCCAAACACCGCAACACAAATGCTCCTTTTTGCAAGCGATGGTGCTGCAAGAATGCCGGCATCTCCCCTTTCATCTGCCCTGAGCCTGGCTGCCAGATTTAAGTGTCCTTCCTAACTTTTTAATGAACTTTCCTCCCAGCATGTCAGTCCACTGTTTAATAACCACTAATGGTTCCCTGGTTCCCCTTGAATCAAATTCAATCTCTTCATCTTGACACTAGAAGACCTCCAGGACTTAGCAACGGATTTTGGCCCCCAAAGACCTTCTAATCTCACAGAGTCTGTCTCCCTGGGGCTGCCATGCTTCTTCTCACCTAAGTTCCCCTAGATCCACCCCTGTCACCTGGAATAACCTCGTCCTTCTGTGCATTTATCCAAACCCTACGACAGCCTTCAAGATACACTAACTTTCCGAGAAACTCTGGTGCTCCCATTTTTCCATTCCTTACTCATCTGATTTCTGTCTAACCACGTTTAATTTGTCCCCAGTTACTGCTTGTCTTGGGCTTGCTAACCTTTGCGTGCATATTTTTATTTGTACCACAACCAGATCGAAAATACCTTGGAAGTCAGGATCATTGTTTATCTTGTGTCTTTCCCGAGATCTGGGCGCAGGGCAGGTACACAGGGAATACCGGTTGGCCAGTTCCCCAAATGCTGCCTTCTATGTGAAAAGAAGGAAACTTTCTCAGCTAGATCAAGAGTCCTTCTTGGGGCACTTGGGTGGCTCAGTCAAGTAAGTGTCCAATTCTTGATTTCAGCTCAGGTCATGATCTCAGGGTTCCCGTGTCCCGTGTCCATTCTGGACATGGAATCTGCTTAACAATCTCTGTCTCCCTCTCCCCCATCCCACTCTCTCTCCCCCTTCTCTTAAAAAAAAAAAAAAAGAGTCCTTCTGAACTCGATTAAAGTATCAATTTGAAACCTGTACTTCATGTTATACGTAAAAAGTAAAACATCATAGAATCCCCATTAAGATCAAGAATGAACAGGAATACCACCATTTAATGATCTACTAGAGGTGACAGATAATAAACTAAAACATGAAAAGGAAACACAAGGTATACTTATTCATAATTTCCCAAAAGAATGAATGAACAAGCCATTAGAACTATCAAGTGAGTGCAACAGTGTCCAAATTCAAACTCAGAAAATAAGAATCAATGGCTTTCCTAAACACAAGCAATCAATAATTAGAATGTATAACAGGAACAAAAAAGGAGCCCATTCCCCAAAGCACTAAAGCTATAAAATACCCTAAGAGGGAAAAGCCAGACAAGAATGTGCAATCTCAATGAAGAAAAATCACAGTACTTTACTGAAGGAATAAAAGACCTGAATAAATAGGGGATATTCCATATTTCTGACTGGGGAAAAATATTGTAGGGATGCTGACATTTCCCACACTGAACTATTAATTCGATGCAACCCCATTCAAAATCCCAATATAAGTTTTATTAAACTACAACAAACTTATTCTATGATTCGTCTGGAACTATGAATCTGCCTGAATGGTCATGAACATTTTGAACCAGAAGATTAATGGGCGATGACTTGCTATCAAAATACAAAATAAAATTGTGCTATAAAATGGTGTGGGTTTTGTGCAGGAATAGATAAAAAGACCTGCAGAACAGATGAAGTAGCATTTCAAGCAACTGGGGAAAGGACAAACATTCAATAAACGGATGTGGGATAACCAACTAGCCATTTTGAGAAACAGAAGTCGATTTTCATTTCCCATCTGTGCTGGATATCTTTGTTTTTGTTTGCTTATTTGTTTTGTTTTGTTTGTTTGTTTTCCCCCTAGATACCTTCTCAAAAAACATAACAAAACAAAACAAAAACAAACAGGAAAAAAACAACAAAAGAAAGGAAGAACACAGAACTTTGGAGTTAAATGGATATGACTCAAGCAATTCGCCTAATTTTCCTGGGATCTCCTCTGTAAAACAGAAGTAGTTAGGATGATTAAATCTGTTAAAACCTGCTAGATGTTGGGGTGCCTGGGTGGCTCAGTGGGTTAAGCCTCTGCCTTTGGCTCAGGTCATGATCTCAGGGTCCTGGGATCAAGCCCCTGGGATCAAGCCCCTCATCGGGCTCTCTGCCGATTCCCCTCTCTCTCTGCCTGCCTCTCTGCCTACTGTGATCTCTGTCTGTCAAATAAATAAATAAAGTCTTTAAAAAAAACAAAACAAAACAAAAAAAAAACAACCTGCTAGATGTGCCTGCTGGGTTCCTGGTACAGAGAAAGTACTGGTTGACCCTTTTTCTCTCTTCCATTTGGCCCGTGGAAGCTCGAGGGCCAAGAATACATGTGGGTTGTCTATATATCCTGCATGTCTGTACACAAAGAAGCTCAGTTACATTTGCTGAAAGAATGGCGACTGAACAAGCCACACTTGTCCATTGTTAATGGATAAACATATGTTCACATATGTTCATTGTTAACGGGTAAACAAGAGATGCCTTTCTGGCTTCTGCCGGGAAGATCAAACACTTCTGGTTTGTGAAAACAATAAGTCAAAGCAAACCAGAGCTCTGGGCCAGCAGGATCAGGATTTTCAGAGCAGGAAGACTCACCACATAAATCTAACATTTTCCAACTTTCTTCTTCAGAGCCCCAGGCTCTGCGGAGTGAGTCTGCCGAGTGACCGGGCAGCCCGGGGCCAGAGTGTGGGTACAAGAAAGCCACGCCAGGAACCTGATCTCCAGGCTAAGATACCGGGAACACCAATGGACAAAAGGCAGGCCACATATGACCACAACAATAGAACTGTGACCCCCAAATTTGGCAGCAATCAGCCTGGAAACCACACACCCCTGAAGGGTCAGCCCAGAACATTTAGGACTTGTGAATGACCACCAGCTCCTTTAATTTTTTGCCCCCACTGCCTCCTCTATTTCCAACTCAGAACTAACAAGGGGAAGCCAAACATGCTCTCCAAACCAATCCCATAAGATGCTCCACTTTTAGTTATCCTGCTTCCAGCCTCCCCAAGCTAATACCCTACCCTCCAATCAGAATATACCTGCAGTCTGCCCTTTTCTCCCCTATAAAGCTTTCCCACTCCTCTCTGGTCTTGTTGTCCCTGCCAAATGCTAGTGGTGGCAGCTGACACCTTAGCTATACAGTCAGCACTCGATAAATAGCCCCCGTGTGTTCCCATTTAGGGAGCCTTTACTTCCAGGGGCCTTCTCCCGTATTTTAACTAAATACTAGATATGTGTTATGTACTGGGTTTATACATAAGATTTCATTCTTGAAAGTTCTACTGCTAATTCTTTTTTTTTTTTTTTAAATTCACTGATACAGACTGATGCCAAGAGACAATCTTCTCAAGAAATCTGAGTAAGCCCGTTCAGCTTGCATTGAACCAAGAAACAAGGGATATATGGACAGATGGCAGCAAAGGGAGGCTAGACAAAGACAAGGCTGGGCCTGGACAATAGACAGAGGCTTCCAGAGACCTCTATGGGCATTTTTTTTTTCTTTTTCCCATAAGCCAGGCACAGCTGCGTCCAGAAGTTGCAGGGACCCGACTGCCTTGTTGGAATGCCTCCTTACTAGCCCCTCCCCAGAGCTGGGCTGGACTTAGTCACAGTTCTAAAATTGTAGAAATGTCCACCTGCCAGAGGTGCAAATATATAAAATAAGGCCCCAGGGGACTCAAATAAGAGAAAGATGGTTGGGAAGGTCCAGCCCCTTACCTTCATGGGAAAATGGCTTCTTAGATGCCAAGATTGGAGCCTTGTCCATCTACCTGTGACGATTTGCCTGTCTGAAATCTTAAAATTCCCAGTATCCCTCTATATGGTCTTTAAATCTATTTAAAATGGGTTATGGCTGCATTTCCCAAACTGGTGAATGTTAATATATGTCTCAGGAAAAAAAGGGAGTCAAATAAATTTGGGAAATTCTGGTGAAACCAATTTAAACACATTTCATTTGAGTAGGACTTCGTAAAACCTTGAATCTACTAATGATAGTTGTGAATCTGCAAGAAGGGGATGGAGTTTACAGCATTTTCCAAACTTATTTAACTGCAGAAATTGGTTTCCTGCCCACCTATTTACATCTCCCTGAACATCACCCTATGGCATACCATTTTGGAGGCACAGGTCTGAGATAATGCTACCTTACACAGGAAAACTACGAGCGGGTTAACATCTCTTTAAAAATTTTTTTTTTTTTTATTAGAGAGAGAATGTGTGCACACAAGTGGGTAGAGGGGCAGATGGAGAGTGAGAAGCAGAGAATTTCAAGCCGTCTCCGAGCTGAGAGCAGAGCCCAATGTGGGACTCGATCTCAGGACCCTAAGATCATGATGTGAGCCCAAACCAAGAGTCGGACACTTAACCGACTGAACCACCCAGGTGCCCCAAGTTAATACCGCTTATCACATATTGTAACTTAACAAAGGGAGGGTTAGGAGACCAGGTAGGAAGTGGCACACGAGGGCAGTTTTGAGGACACGAAGAAGAAAATCAGACCATAAAGTAGGGCCAGAGACTAAGGAGGTTACATTTGGGTCCCCCGGTCAGCCTAGCGCAATTTAAGGATAGTGGTGTTAAATTCCAGAGGAAGGAAGTCAGAGAGCATCCTTACCTGATTTGTAACTTTTCTTAGCCAGCCCTAGTATTAATATCTCTAGAAGCTGGAGCGTGGCCAAGAGAATCACTGAATTTGAGAATCACCGAAATCTCTAAAAATAGAGATTTGGGCAAATGGTTCTTTTTACAGCATTGCATTAGTGATGGCCTTTGACCCCATTTCAGAGTTAAGATAACTCTGGGGAGAGAGATGATGCCACTCACCTGATGCTCCAACAAAGCCACTTTTCCTTCTGCAACCCCACCAGGAAGTCCGTGACAGACCACAGGGAGGGAGAGTGAAGTGTTCCATGGACCCCCTGGTTCACTTACTTGAGAATCACACAGCCTGTTCCTGCTGGGGGCGCTATCCAGAACACCTGAATCCGTGTCCTCCTCCGTGGGGTGCTTTCCGTGACCGCAACAGGGCAGTTACTCATAAACTGTGTTTCTTCTTCATCTATGATCTGTGGAAAGTAAACACATTAAAATGCAATGTCACTCTGGGAAGGCTCTTAAGTTTCCGAGTTGACACTTCCTCAATTTTATTTTTAAACCTGTTGTTTTGTGTTAGCAGCCCTATATCCCCTGACACCAGAATAGTGCCTGGCATAGAGTTCCAGTCAACGCTTGTTGAATTAACATGAGGGCAAGGATTTGGCACCTGTGCTCTCCTCTCTGGGACCAGGATCTGGTGTCAGCACTTCGAGGAGCAGGTCACTAGGTGATGGTCTTGCTTATTTCACTATCATAATGGTGTCCAGTTTCAGGGGAGGAGGAAAAGTAGGAAGAGGAGGGGGAGGGGATAATCCAAAGCCAACACTCTCTAAATAGCTAAAATTTGCAATTCAGCTACAGTTTTATAACTTGAAATCGAAATGCTAAAAGAAAATACCCCTTTGGAGGAAGTCCACCAAAGTACATAAACTCTATCCCAGTTTCACAGCACTCTTTCCTTGGCAGTCTCTATCTCCTGAGTTTGTGCACTGTGTCGGAGTTCTCCCAAGTTAACCATCAAGCTTTCCGCGGACACTGCGAAAAATCTGGAAGCCATTCCCATTCCCCAAGACTGGTTCAGCATTTCCCCTGAAATGCTGCCAGAACTTGCCTATCTCTCTAGTATTATTACAGACTATTAGACCTGGAAGGAACTCTCCGGGGGAATCATCTAAATCCAAGTGCCAACTTCAATTGATTGGTATTTGCTGTATCGTGAGTAGTGCTAATAACAATAACAGATAACATTTATTGAGTGTTTAGTATGTGCTAGGCACTAAGCTAAGTGCTTTATCTGACTTACTCATTTAATCTTCAAATACAATTTAATAAGATGATAATATCCATATTGTATTTACTTTACTTTAAAAATTCATATTTCTTTTAGGATAGCAGGTTAAAAAAAACAACAACGAAGTCACTCAAACTCCTTAGTTCATCATATATTTATATCCCTGGATGAAGCAAAAGCAATCTTCTTTATATAGTTTTTATCTCAATATTCTTTATCCTACTCCCACTTATATATGCCCTTCTGAGTGTGTGTGTATACACATAAACATACAAATGTTTATATAATACATAATGTATATATAAAATATGTGTATGTATTATATATTATGTGTGTATGTGTGTATATATATACATATACATACATATGTAACTTACTTGAAGTTACTTAGAATTGTTTTGTATTTTATTTTTTTTTAAGATTTTATTTTTATTTGACAGACAGAGATCACAAGTAGGCAGAGAAGCAGGCAGAGAGAGAGGAAGAAGCAGGCTCCCTGCTAAGCAGAGAGCCTGATGCGGGTCTCGAACCCAGGACCCTGGGATCACGACCTGAGCTGAAGGCAGAGGCTTTAACCCACTGAGCCACCCAGGTGCCCCTGTTTTGTATTTTAATGTTTCTTTCACTTAATCTTACGTTTTTAAGATACAGGTTCCCCCCACTATCTGAAAGTAGAGTATACCTATGAAATCTTTTATAAGCTGGAATGGTATAAACTGAAGAAGCAATTACCATTAATTTATATGGAAAAAATTTTTACGTGTTCCCAGACCCCCAAAATAACCTCTCTCAGGCTTTTCTGATACCTTAGGACACATCTTGCTAACAGATGCACAAAATAAATCCAGATAAAACACAGATGCTCCCAGACACAGTTCAAAGCTATACGGGGCTTGAGGCTGAGATGCTGAGTGTAGTTTCTGGGGAAGGAGCTTGGCCGTATCTCTCTTGCTGTTTTGCACTGCCTCTAAATGGCTCACTGTAAAACAAAAGCTGAGTGCTATTTGCATTTTTTGCCCTTTTCATAAAAGTGAAAATCCTCTTTGGATTTCTTTCAGGTGGTGAAAACAGGTACTAGTGTAGGTCTTCCATACAAGCAAAGCGGCATAACATGAACTTTCAAGAAGTGGGGATACCTGTATGTCGAAGTTACTATATGTGAATGTAATTCATTGCTTCTGACTGTGGTCTACTATTCTACTGCACCAGTCCATTCCCCCAGTCAGCAGTCAGCTGACTTCCAGATCTTTACCTCCACAAACACTGTTGCAATGAAGCTCTTCACGCTGCTCTACTTACGAACCTACATGAGACCTTCTCAGTAATATAAACCATGTAGTGGGAGGTTCCCTCAAATGTTCATCTTACCTTTGGAATTCTTCACTGAACAGAAATAACTTTCATCTAGTCAGATTCACCAATTTCTCTCCTATGGCTTGCACTTTTGTGGTCTTGCCTAAAAAACAGACCGCAAAGATATTTTCCAGTTTTTTGTTTTGTTTTGTTTTGTTTTGAACCATTAGCTTTGTAATTTTACCTTCCACATATAGGTCTTCAATCCATTTAGAGTTTATTTTTTAATACAGTGGCGTAGGGTTCCAACTCCAATTTATCCACGCTGTGAGCTGCTTTTAAAAAATCACTAAACTTAATTTTTTAAGAGCAGTTTAGGTTTACACCAAAATTGAGCAGAAAATGTGGAGTTTCCATAGATTCCCTGTCCCCACACATGAACAACTTTCCTTATTATCAATGCCCAGCACCTGACTGGTACATTTATTACAACTGATGAACCCACACTGACCCATCACCAGCACCCAAAGTCCAGAGTTTACATGAGGGTTCACTCCTGGTGCTGTTTATTCTATGGGTTTTGACAAATGATTAATAACGTGCATTCACCTCTGAGATTTTATGGTATTATACTGAATGGTTTCACTGCCTTAAGGGGCACCTGGGTGGCTCAGTGGGTTAAAGCCTCTGCCTTAGGCTCAGGTCGTGATCTCAGGGTCCTGGGATTGAGCCCCACATCAGGCTCTCTGCTCAGCAGGGAGCCTGCTTCCTCCTCTCTCTCTCTGCCTGCCTCTCTGCCTACTTGTAATCTCTGTCAAATAAATAAATAAAATCTTTAAAAAAAAATCCTTAGTGCTCTGCCTGTTCATCTTCCCTCCCTCCAACCCCTAACAACCAGTAATCTTTTATTATAATTGCTTTTTAGTTCCAGGAGGTTTTTTTACTGATTCTTTCAGATTTTCCTATGTAGACAATCATGTCATCTGAGAAAAGAGTTTTATTTCTTCCTTCCCAATCTGTATACCTTTGATTTCCTTTTCTTGTCTTATTGCATTATCTAGAATTTCCAGTATAATGGTGAAAAGTAGTGGTAAGAGGGGATATCCTTGCCTTGTTCTTGATCTTATGGAGAAAGCTTCAAGTTTCTTACCAGGAAGTATGCTATTAGGGACAAGTTTTCTTTGTAGATGCTCTTTATTAAGTTGAGATGTTCCTCTCTATTCCTAGTTTGTTGAGGGTTTTTAATCACGAATGGGTGTTGGGTTTTGCCAAATGCTTTTTCCACATCTACTGATAATGATCACATTTTTCTTCTTTAGTCTGTTGAAATGATGGATTATGTTAATTGATATTCAAATTTTGAACCAGCCTTGCATTACCTGGGATAAATCCCACTTGGTTAGGGTATCTATTCTTCCTGTACATTGTTGGATTTGATTTGCTGACATTTGTTGAGGAAATTAGGATCTATATTCATGAGAAATAGGAGTCGGCAGTTTTCCTCTTTTGCAGTCTTTGGTTTTGGTGTTAGGGTGCCACAGGAATAATAGACTGAGTTAGAAAGTAGAGTTTTGGTATAATGTCTTCATTAAATGTTTGGTAGAATTCATCAGTGAACCCATCTGGGTCTGGTACTTTCTGTTTTGGGAGATTACTAATCATTGATTCAATTATTTAATAGATAATAGGCCTATTCAGAGTCAGATACAGTCTATTCTTGTTTAAGTCTTGACACATTGTGTCTCTCAAGGAATTGGTCCATTTCATGTAGGTTATCAAATTTGTGGGCACAGAATTGTTCATAATAGACCTCTATTATTCATTTCATGTCCACTGGATCCGTAATAATGTTCCTTCTTCCATTTCTGATATTAGCCGTTTTTGTCTTCTCTCTCTTTTTCTTAGTTAGCTCGGCTGGGTGCTTATCAATTTTTTTGATATTTTCAAAGAGCCAATCTTTTGGTTTTGTTGGTTCATTGATTTCTTCTATCATTTTCATTACTTCTTTTTCTCTATTTACTTTGGATGTAATTTTCTTTTCTTTTTCTAGGGAGGAAGCTGAGATCATTGCTTTCATATCTTTTTCTTTTCTAATATATACGTTCAATGCTATAAATTTCCCTTAAGCATTGCTTTTGCTGCATTCCACAAATTTTAAAGTTATATTTTCATTTTCATTTAGTTTAAAATATTTTTAAAGTTCTTTTGAAATTTCTTCCTTGACCCATGTGTTGGTTAGAAATGTGTTGTTAATGGGGATTTTCCAGCTATGTTTCTGTTATTTCTAGTTTAATTTCACTGTGGTCTGAGAGCAGACATTATATGATTTCTGTTCTTTTAAATTTGTTAAGTTGTGTTTTATGGCCCAGAATGTGGTATATCTTGGTGAATGTTTCATGTGAGCTTAAGAAGAATGTGTAATCTGCTATTATTAGATGAAGTAGTCTGTAGGTGTCAATTATAACCACTTTATAGATAGTACTGTTGAGTCCAACTATGTCCTTACTGATTTTCTGACTGGTGGGTCTGTCCATATGTAATAGAGAGGTGTTGAAGTCTCCAACCATGACAGTGGATTCATCTATTTCTCCTTATAGTTCTATCAGTTTCTACTTCACATATTTTTGACGCTCTGTTGTTAGGTGCTTACAATTAAGGATTATTATGTCTTCTTAGAATACTGACCCCTTTATCATTATGTAATGCTCCTCTTGTTCTTGATAACCTTCTTTGCTCTGAAGTCTGCTTTGTCTGATATTAATATAGCTATACTTGTTTTCTTACAATTTGTGTTTGCATTGTGTATCTTTCATTCTGCTTTTAATTACATGTGCCTTTATATATATTTTTTAAAGATTTTATTTATTTATTTATTTGACGGACAGA